AAGATAGATGCCTATTTATGATAATTCTGTTTCACAGCCTAAAATATGGGGTGGAGAAATCAATAAGCAATTACACTGTGCCCATTAAAATAGATTTTTTTTTTTTTTTTTGTAGCTCTGAAGTTGTCACTTGGCCTGAATTTGCACACAGAACCATCCCATGGCAGGAGGGTTGGGACAAGATGATCTTTGAGGTCCTTTCCAACACAAAACCATTTTGTGATTCTCTAATTAACCTCCCCAATGCGTTATTTTTTTAGTTCAGAGCAGAGCTAAGCAGGACCACGAAGTGAAAGAGTTTAATTCCTGAAGAGTAATTCCATAGGAATTACCAAAATTCCAAATTTCAAAAAAATTTCTTATTTTGCCTTAAAATAAAGATCAGCTCCTTGAAGGTGCTTTATAGGGCAAAGGCAAATTTATAGAGAAGGTGTTGCAGGAGGATCCTGTGGCCAAATCCCCCTTTCCCAGCCTCGCACCGAGGAGCTGTTGCCATCTGCTGGGAAAGCCTCGAATGGCTCCTCTAACCTGAGCTCCCGGGCAGGTAAAAGGTGAGGAATTTGGGTAAAAAGGAGAATTTCCCAGCGCTTTGGGATCGTGGAGTTCTAGAATGCTCCGAGGGGGTTTGCACCGCTGTGAGCTCAGCATAAACAGCGAGAAAAATCAGCAGAAAGTGACGCTTTACGATTTTAAGTGTGGATAAACAGTGCCTGAAAGTATTATTCATTCAGAAAAAAAAATCAGTTTGTGTTTCAGATGGGATAATCAGCTGAGTTTCACTGAGCTCCACCACAAAAGCCAAGTGCATAAAGACTCTTTTGCTCCTTACAAGTAATCAATTTAAAACCAGCGAGAGAACACTCAGGTATTTTGTACAGTTATTTACACTCATCACAAATTGCTCTGCCAGCTCCTGTTTTTCTGCTGATTTTGGAAGCCAGCTGCCAAACCTTAACACCTTGGAGGGGAAAAGCAAAGGGGAAACAATTCCCAAGTTCATTTCCCAAATGTGCCTAGAAATTTGTGACTCCTAAAGAACACAGGACCTAATCCCAGAAAACAAATAAATTTGTGCTGTACTCCACATTTCTGTGCCATTTCCAAGTCTTTTTTTTCATCTCCCACCTTAAAATGGGCGCCAGATTTGCTCCCTACCCTCTGGAAATGCACCCAAGATTGGTCTTGGGACACAAAGCTTTGCTGATTTTGAGACACAGAGAGCCTAATCTAGCAGAGCTTCTACAGTGACAGCTTATTACAGTTCCTAAACCTGGATAATCCACAGGGCACTCAGCATTTTTATAGCACTAAGCTTTCGTTCCATACCAGCATGATGAAGGCAGCAACCTTGGGGAGGACAGGTGAAACTGCTGGACATTGTGCCCTGGGTTTCCTTCTCTGTCTCCATCCTCTGGCTGGAGGGGTGATTAAAAATTGAAAATCTAAAGAAACGGAGAATATAATTTCTCTTCACATTTGAGGATTGCGGCACTGGACAGATCTCAATCTTCTGACACAAGACATGGTTAACACAAGCACTGCTGAAAACCTGTGTTTTGTAACATTTGAGAAGCTGCAGAAGCTGAAACTTTCTTCTTCCTGTACAAGATTATCTACCTGTAAACCTTAATTACTTTACAGAGGCCTTTCCATCTGTTATTTTCCTTCTTTTAGTAATTTTCTAGGGATCTTTTACATTGTCGACTTACCAGCTGCCTGGAACTTGAGGCAAACAGGGCACTGATTTCTTTGGACATGGCAGACCCCATGGAATTCATGTAATAGCAGATTTCAAAGACTTAAAATGCTGCTTTTACATCAGTGCCTGGACTACTGCTGCGAGGGAATAAAGCTGTGGATATCAAAAAATTGCAATTTTTTCAAGTACAAATAAGGAGTTCAGCTACAAAGAGAGGGCAGAGGACTGAAAGAGAAGGTTAATTTTACAAAGCTCAGCTGCAAGGCCAGCAGGAGAAGCAAAAGGCAGGCAGCAGGGTTGCCTGTAAAGAAGCAACAGGATGATAAAAAATGAAATTAATTGGGTGTAGAGGGGCAGATTTCACTTTTCACAGACAAAGCACATCTGACCACTGACAACGCCAGATTTTGTCACTTCAGAAGACACGAGACCTGCGAGATGCAGCTCTACAGCAAAGCTTCAGAACTCTGCTGTACTTTCTTCTCTGCTTCTGGAGCTACCTCAGAGGTTCAGCAAAGTCCCAGCACAAATTCTTGCAGGCCCTGAGCCCCCTCCACCCCCAGGCTGGGCTCTGTAAACAGAACAACATCTCCAGAGGGCTCAGTGCTGCTCAGCAGCTGCTCCCCAGCGCTGGAGGATTTAAAGCTGGACTTAAAGGTTACATGCAAACAACTAAATTGGCTTAACTATTTATAGAAGCCAAGACTTTTGGCATGCTGGATCTCTGGCTGTGGCCATCAGCAAGCAGAGTGGCTGTTTACCAACACAGCTCCACAGGGCTTTGCTAGGTAATAATATTAATTTGTGATTGAGGAGAGCTCACAGTGTGGAAACACAGGAGAACCTCCTCCCGTGGCATCCAGGGCATGGAAAACAAAGGGAACATTTTTCCTCCATCCTACTGAATATCTTTGAGGTTGGAGAAACCCTCCAAAACCATCAGCTGCAACCTGTGACTTAAGAGCAGCACCCAAACAGAGAAAACCAATTCCTTATATAATTAAATAATCTTTATTTTTATAAAACATAATACAAAGCATCTACACCATTCACTGGTGGAACATTAGTTGCTATTACACAGTAATTCAGACACAAGTTATTATTTCACACTAGTTCTGCAGTTTCCTCTCACAGTTTGCTCTAGCCACTATGGACTAGCCTGAGGATAGGTCCCACCCTGTGCTCCACAGCTTGGAATTTGTACTCCTGGGTCTGTGATTGTATGCTGGAGCCCACTAAATGGGCTATGAGGCCTTGCTCTGCCTCATAAAGCTGTTCCTAATTGCCCTTTTGTTTTCTTGTTTACCTTCTAGAGCCTCAGAGCTGAGCAGTGCTCTCCTTCCAACCACGTTTCCCCCCACCCCGTTCAGAAAACTTCAACCATTGTATTTCAAAATATCTTCAAACAGGCGATTCACAGATACTGCAGTCACTGCCATCCTCATCCACCTGGGCAGGTGAGGGCTCTAACCCCATAAAGCTGCACCCCAACCCTCAGCACAGGTCAGAGCCCAAACCACCAGGGCTCTCTGGAAACCCTCGGTGCTGGGCAGCTCAGCAGGAATGACCAGCCTGTTTTCACCTCCACTTCTCCAGGAGCTGCTGCTGCAAGCCCTCATTCCCTGCTCAGTGGCTGAGACTCTTTTGGCTCCAGATTCCTGCAATCCTGACCAGGGAAATCCCTTTTCCTCATCTTGGGACTCGCTGCGAAGATGCAGCTGACCTTCATGTGCATGTCCAGCTCCCTTCCCTGTGACTCCTGCCCTTGAGCACCTTTACAAAACACCTCACTCCTGCTTTTGGGATGTTGGGAAGTGCCCACATTCAGGTGACGAAGCGCTGCTGATGGCTGTAGCGGGAAGTGCTTCACTCAAAGCAACTTTTATACAGCACATCGTGACACAAAGCACCGAGAATCCATCAAAGGTGGCTTGGTGCTCAATGGAAACACCCTACGAGGTAGGTAAGACTGGACCCACTTCCCAAAGTGGGTTAGGTTGAGGCAAAAGGGGCTCCTGCATGTGCTCAACAGAGCAGCAGAGCTGGGAAGAAAGAACCAGCAAGCCCCAACCAGCCCTTCTGGTCTCCTTTCAAGGCTTGATAGTGCTGAATGAGTCAAAATGAGTGTCCAGGACCAGCTCATCTGGTTCTGCTCATCTGAAGGGGTTTTTTGGGGGGTTCTTCAGGTCTTTGGCTGCAGCAGGCAAGGCTCAAGCAAAAGGGGGCACCTGATCTGCACTGGAGGCTCAAAGGAAATGCTCAAAATCACAGCAACAACAAAGGAACAGCTTAAGAACATGCAGTGAAATAAACTCCAGAAGCTGCCAACTGGGCATGGCTTTTCCCTGCAAATGGGACCAGATAAGTAATGCTTATTTTTCTCCCAGTCAGGTTTGGTTTGTTGTTTTTTATTTGTTTGTTTGGTTTTTTTCTTAAAAAAGACCAGATTCTGGGCCTCTCTCTTGTTTAATTACTAAGCTGTAAAATAAATCTCTCTGATCCTCATATTATTCACTTTTATAAAGTGATTCAGACCCAGTCAGAGGGAAATCAAAGCCCAGGGGTCAAGGCATCAATTCAGATGAAGGAGAGCCAAGGTCAGTCTGTGGCTTCCACAGGGCAGATTCTGGGCAACCAGAAATCCCAATTTGGATTTGGGGCACAGCAGAGGGAATTTTGGTGTGTTCTGCAGACAAAATCAGGGCTTGGCTCATCAGCAAGAAAACCCCTGACTGGCAAATCCTGATGGGGCTTCTCAAAATGGAGTGTGCTGGTTACCCAAGGAGCTAAAAGCAGTGTTTGTAGGGGAGTTTTAACAGTCAGAGGAGGGAAAAATCGGGAAAAAAAAATTCCCTTCTGGGTCTGTTTGTCTTTGGGTGTATTCACAGAGCACCTAGTCCTGTATGGTGCCAGTGCTGATTAGAGCTTCTGGACACTACAGAAAATAAGTTATCAATATGTTAATAGATAAGTTACTAAAAGGAGATAGAATGGGTAGGGAACAACAAACTGTCTAAAATACTGATTTTTCTAGAGTCTCACTCTAGCTTGACCACCAAAGTCGTTTCTCCCAAGGGAAACACAGGGGTAATGAACCAAGTGCAGATAACAACCATCACTTTGCATTTATATAGCACCTCTCAAGTAAAAATCTGAAAGTGCATAACAGATGGAGCAGCTCCATCACCCCCAAGTCACGGAGGGGGAATTAGGCACAGAGTTAGAGTTGTGTGACTTGCCCAAGGTCACACAACGAGGTGGTGGAAGAGCCAGGAATCCCAGCTTGGATGCAACACTAGAACACGCTTCTTCCTCCCAGCTTGAAGAATCACTCCAGCTGCCTAGACTGCACAGGACACTGGACATGGAGATCTAGTGTTACCTCCTCCTCTCTTCCAAGATCCTGAAGGAGTTGGCTACAGACATCGCTATTTACACCTGGACTAGCCACGTTTAATCCATAAAATCAGCCCTTCTTTCACTCATCGTTCAGGCTGTGCTTACATACCCCGAGCCAGCCTCTGCCAGGCCGAGCACTGCACATCCAGTGAATCCGTGGCATAGCTCCATGGATTTCAGTGGAGTTACGCCAGGGATAAATTTGGCTCCAGAACTGCTAACGTGCATTGGCTCGTCTCCCGCCAGCGGCATTTCAGGCACGATCCCCCTCCTTGCCAGCCCGCCATCTCCAGGAACTCTTTGCTCCACTCAGTGGCTTTTGAGGTGCCCGTTGGTCTTCGAGCACAGCTCGTGGCTCCTGCGGCTCCTCCAGGCCTGGTACTTCCTCATGCTCTTCCTCCGTGCGAAGCGGCAGATGCTGACCATGAACACCCAGGACACCACGTACATGATGACCCCACCCAGCTTGATGTACCAGCGGGGCCTGGGCGAGGCCAGCTCGCAGTACATCAGCCAGGCCCCCATGCCGATGCGCACGCCGGTGAAGAGCACCACGAAGAGGAAATCCACCAGGTCGCCCGTGAAGGTGTGGTAGCGGCCCAGCTCCTTGAGGAACCAGCGGGCCTGCAGCAGCGGGTTGGTGATCTCGCTGCCGAAGATGACGGCGTTGACGTCCGCGGCCGACTCGCCCAGGGCCAAGGAGGTGGCGATGCCCACGATGCTCACCAGGTGGTGGGCCAGCATCAGGGCACCCTCCGTCTGGAAGTACACGCACCAGCACAGGTCGAAGATGAAGTAGCCCAAGCTAAGGCACAGCCCGTGCACCTGAAGGGTTGTGTTGGGTGATCCTGAAACATCAAAGCAGAGCTTTACGGAGCGGAGGCAGCAGGCAGGATGTGAGACAGGGAAGGGGTGTTCACCTCTGGCTCGCGCTGGTCACAGCCCGGCCACAGAAGTCCCCCGAGTCACAATGCCACGGTTGTTAGTCCGGCAGCTGCACGCACGTAATGGCCACACAAAAGGCCACACGCTCTGCCAAACTGCAGCTGGGGAGGGGCATTACACCAGCAAAATCCGGTACCAGGCTCTCCATTCCTCTGGGGCTCTCCACCACGAAGAGCCTGAGATATCACTGCAGCCATCATCCCTCAGGCGGGCTGGGGACTGAGGTGGTAAGGGAGCCCCTGGGGGAGGTGGGATCAGGGATTTCCTCACTCACCTGGGTGACTCAGGGGCCAGGGGCCATCGATGAAGCCGATGTAAGCGGACAGACAGGTGGCGAGGATGCCGTGGGTCAGTGTGACCAGCCTGCAGCTCCACTCGATGCTGCGGTGCCGGTAGCGGTGGCAGAACCACTTGTAGAGGCAGAACCAGGCCAGCAGGCTGCAGGCTGCACGCAGGGGCAGCGGGAACAGCATCCTGTCCTGGGAAGAGCAGGACACCAGGGATCAGAAAGACAAAGTGAGCAGGAGGTCGAGCCTGCGGCTGTGTCAGCACAACCCAGCACAGCTTTGCTCTGTAACCATCCCAGCCCCAAGTGTGCAGAGCTGCTTCTCCTGACAGGTTTTCTGTGTGAAAACCACTTTCTTCTCCTCGTTGCAGACTTCATTTCATCCTTACTGGCATCTAAACCTCCATCAAAATCTTTTGGGTGCAAAAGAATAAGAATCTATGTCCATGAAGGGGTTTTTTTTCAGCAGTATTTCTTTTATACATCTTCCCTCACGCACCATGCAAACATCTCTCAAACAAGCAAAAGACAAATTACCAGAACAAAATTACAGCACATAAACACTTGTGGATGTCGCTAAAACCCTCCAAATACACATTGCTCTACTCTACACCTCATTCACATAATGCCTGCCCGTGAAATGTGTGTCACTACCCCTGAGCATTCAGGGAAGTGCAGCACAAGAAGCCGAGTCAGGCTTTGGGATACAGGAGTTTCCAGTTGTGCAACAGCCAAAGCACCACTGGTACCTGCTGCCCAACTCTGGCCTCTCTCCCAGGGCTGGGGAGCACCAGAGGGACTTCACGGGATGAGGAGTCAGGGCTGCACAGCCCAACCTTCCTGTTTGGCCTGTTGGAGCATTCCCAGGAATGACTGGAGGCTGGGTAAACAAAACCATTATGTTTTAATGGGCCTTGGGAACATGGGGAGATGAAATAGGGATGGGATTAACTGCTCTGAGCAGGCATTTCCACTCACATCTCTGCTGCTAGAGGTCCAGACTCAGAGCAGATAAGGGAGGGAGAATTCTGATGTGACAAAAGGGATCGACCAGCTGGAGAAGGCTGGCGGAAAGAAGAGGAATCAGCTGTAAAAATACTGGTGTCTTTTCCACACCTACTCATGAAAAAGATATGTCTCCATACCCTGGGAAAAAAATCACAGAATATCCTGAGCTGGGACTCACAAGGACCATCCAGTGCAGCTCCTGGCCCTGCACAGACACCCCAACAACCCCACCCTGTGCCTCAGAGCTCCCCTGCAGCTCTGGCAGCCTCGGGGCTGTGCCCATTCCCTGGGGAGCCTGAGCAGTGCCAGCACCCTCTGGGTGAAGAACCTTTCCCTGAGATCCAACTTGAACCTCCCCTGTCCCAGCTCCAGCCATTCCCTTAGGGAAAAAACAGAGGGCTTTTTGCAGAGGGCTTTCTTCCAACTGCACATCAAAAATCAACAGTTAGTGGCTTTAACTCAAAGAGAAAAAATATGTGTTAGATATCAGGAAGAAACTTTTTCCTGTGAGAGTGGGCAGGCCCTGGCACAGGGTACCCAGAGAAGCTGGGGGTGCCTCTGGATCCCTGGAAGTGTCCAAGGCCAGGTTGGAGCAGCCTGGGATATTGGAAGGTGTCCCTGAATTTGGCAGGGCATGGAATGAGATGAGCTGTATGGTCTCTTCCAGCCCAAACCACCCTTTGATTTGTCTTTAGCATATGCACACTAGAAAGGCCGATATCATTCAAAAAAGCAGCAATAATTACAGAACAATAAATAACAAATAATTCTATATAATATACAGATAAACAATAAATAAACAAGCAACATGTAATCACACATAAAATTATGTATTTCTCTCTATATTATTTTATCGCATATATTATTATGTATCTATTCTACATAAATAGATATTATATTATCATTTATATCACCGTTAGCAATGAGGCCCGGAATGAAAGCAGCCTCAATAAACACACGCGCCTAAAAACCCGGTGCAGAACAGCCCGAAATCGATTCAAACACATATGGGCACCTCCAGCAAAGCTCCGTTATCCCGCTCCCCGTGTATTTTTAGCCCGAAGGGGAAGATGGAGGAGAGCGCACCAACAAGCGCAGCCCCGGGGCACCGCCTGCGCATCCCGCGGGGTGCAGCGGGCCCGTCCCCACCCCGCTGGGGCTCCCGCATCCCCTGGGGACAGGGACAGGGACAGGGACGGGGACGGGGACAGGGACGGGGACAGGACCCTTCCCCAGCACCCACCTGCCGGGCCGAGCCGCCGGAGCCGCCCCGGATCACGGAGCGAGCGGCGGCGGCCGAGGGGCACCTGGCGGCCGGGAGGAGGGACGGCAGGGATGGGGATGGGGAGGAGGAGGAGGAGGAGGAGGAGGAGGAGGAGGGACGGGAGGAGGGGATAGGGGCGGCGGGATGGCAGGAAAGGCGAGCCGCCCCGCTCCGCGCATCCCTGCCCTCCGTGCTGCGCCGTGGGATGCTCTGAGCTGGAAGGGATCCAACGGGATCATGAGCCCAGCTCCTGTTCCTGCACAGACACCCCAAAAACCCCACCCCGTGCTCGGAGCGGTGTCCCAAAGCTCCTGGAGCTCCGGCAGCCTCGGGGCCGTGCCCATTCCCTCGGGAGCCTGGGCAGTGCCAGCACCTTCTTTTCCTGATACCCAGCCTAAATCTCCCCTGGCACAGCTCCAGCCTTTCCCTGGGTCCCTGATCACAGAGAGCAGAGATCAGAGCTGCACACCCCAAACTGGAGAGCAGAGATCAGAACTGCACATCCCAAATTGCCTCCTCCGGATGAAGCCAGCCAAGTGCCCCCAGCCCCTCCACCCCCTCCAGTCCCTCCACCCCGCTCAGGTCACGTCCCCACAGGGCACACAGAGCATCGCTGTAGCCCGGGGACACAGAAATCAGCCCCACAGCCACCCCGCCCGCTCCAATCGCCCCGTGCGTGCCGCAGGGATGCGAGGAGAGCACGAAGCATACGCAGCGTTCCCTCTCCTCACTCCTGATGTGAGCAGAGCCTTCTGCAGAGCTCCAGAGCTGTGTCAGTGCAGCAGCAGGTCCAAAGTGACATCCCCCGAGGGGTTTTGCCACCCAGAATGGAGCTGCAGCGGGTGAAGAGAGCTCACACCCTGCCCTGGACATCCTCTCCATCCCCTGCTTGTGCAGCAGTTACCCAGCAATTTCTCCTCTCTCCTGCCCTCCACATCCCAAATTCTGGGTTTAAGCAGGACACCTAAAGCAGCGACCAAAGTTCCTCCACCTTTCATAAGTTACAGTCAAAACAACCTCTCACACCCAAAAACATGGGTTTGGTTTTTGCCTTCATCCCATCAAGTTTTACCTTTTGAAATGCGGTGGGAGTGGCTCGACCTGCCTCTTACAGCACTCCTAATAAACCCTTCCAGCTGGGTATTCAACAAGATACAGATCTTACTTTTCCAGTCGAGGCCAGGTACAGGTTCCTACTGCTACAAAATGCTCATCCTCCTGCTATTTCAGCACATCCTCACGAGGATTAATAGTGCATTTGCTTCTCTGACAAATCTGAGTTCTCCTCTTGCTTCCCTCCACCTTTGCCTCAGCAACAAATGAGATGGAGCTGTTTTAATGTTTAGCTTAGGACAAAGGAAAGTGTGGACAGTCAGGAAATTATAGGGCTGATGTTTTCACAATAGGAGCATTGTTAGGCGGACTATCAGGAAAAAAATCTTGGCTGTGAGAGTGATGAGGAGCTGGGATGGAATTCCCAGAGAAGCTGTGCCAGCCCTGAAGTGTCCAAGGCCAGGTTGGACAGGGCTTGGAGCAGCCTGGGATAGAAGCAGGGGATTTTTGGAATAAGCTGAGATGATCTTTAAGGTCCCTTCCAACCCACACCATTCTGGGATTCTGTGAGCAGCCAGGAAGAAAAATAGAGATGTTGACAGAAGAACAGAGTCCCAACAAGGCACAGATCATTTAATGCAGGAGGTGGGACACAGAGAAGCTGTGGGTTGTTTTTTTTTTTTGTTTCTAGCACAAACTTTGCACAGTGAGGTGCAAGGTAGCAAGCGAAATCATCTCCCTGTGGATTGTACCAGAAGTGAGGTGCAGATTTATACACCAATTTTCCTGTTTGCTTTGTGCAGAGTCAGCCATTTCAATGGGCTGCACTGCACTGGCACGCTTGGCCTGCAGATGAACAGAGTTCAGCAAAACAGCTCAGGGCAGGAACCTCTGCAAACAGTTGTTTGCACACTGCTGCCTCATTTAGCACAGCCACAGCCTCCCCCAGCTGCACATCCTTTCCTCTGCTCTCCTGGACCCATTCTAACCAGAGCTTGCAGCACTGAAAAGCACCACAGAATGTATTTATTACCTTACCCACACTGGGAAACTCCTCGTCCACAATTAAACTGGGAATAAACAAGAACTGGAAGCCTGGGAGTTCAACAGGCCGTTACTAAAACTCAGTTTTTGTGGCTGTAAAAGCCCTCAAGGATATCTGACAGATAAAAAGCAGGCACCTCCATGAAAAATCATATTCTATGAAATAAGAATTACAGTGGGATAGTGGAGCTGGCTGATTTTCTAGCATCACATTACAGGGTTTAGCACTAAAATAATTATCCTTAGGTGAGATTTGGCAGATGAGAACCTGAGGGCAGTTATTTTGCATCCAACCTCCTCAGGTACCTCTGGTTGCACACAAACAATCTGGGTGCACTGGGATGCTGTCCCAATACTGCCCCTCAGCTGGAGGAAGAGGTTTTCCTCCTTGGAAGCCAATCCAGGTTCTCCTCCAGTCCAGGCAGCAGAGTCCTGGCCCAGCAGGGGCAGGTTCCCAACCAGAAACAGCCACTCAACGGTGACTTAGGACATCTTATAACCCCCAAGATGTTCTCATGCTTTTGATTGCTTCTCCAAAAAAATCCACAGACAAGTTATGCTGCAACCCTTCCAAACTGGGCATTGCCCCAGTGAAACCCAACACCAGAGAGGCAGAGAAAAAATAAAAGCACCCTGGGATGTAGGAGGCCATGGCCAGAATTCAAGTTATTTGTGTGTCCAGCAAGAGCAAACCCCTCAGGCTGGTGGCTCTTAAGCTCTCTGCAGCGCTGATTCATTGGCAAAGCAGGTTGTGGGTGCATTGCTCACAAACCTGAGCTTCAGCTGAGCCTCACCTGCCCTCCACAGCTCCAGCCTGACCTCCAGAGCTCCTGGCTCAGCCTGGGCTCGTTTCCTCACCCCCTCTCTCCTTCCTGAGCTGCACAGAGGGAATGAACCAGTGATTTTGGCATCCTCAGCCTTCCCTCAAGCCCCTTTGCCTCAGCCCTCAGTCCAGCTGCCTCCTCAAGACCCAGAACAAAAGAACATCACAGCAATCAGTTCTTTTTCAAAAGAGAACATGACTTTATTAGAAGTCCCGTCACTCAGAGGAGTTTTTGGAGGATCACAGGGAGCCTGGCAGGTGCCCACACTTCAGGAGGCCACTCTGGCTCCTGCTTTCCTAAAAATATTGGCCCAGGAACTTGCCCAGGTTCACAGCTGCAATGCTTTCAGAAGATGTGTCCAAAGTGAGGTTATTTTGGGTTAGTTTTTAATCTCTCCAGACACCTTGAGGAGCCCCAGCCCAAAGGCTGATATCTGCCCTGAACAGAGCCAAACTCAGTGAGATAAAGGCAGTGGAGGAGCTGCATCCCCACTGCTCCCCTCCCTCACCTCTGCATTTGCTTCTCAGCTCTCTGTGAGGCTTTTAGAGGAGACTAAATCTGAACTGCATCCTTGAACAGAGGGAAATTCACATTGAAACCCCAGGGAAAATGTCAGAACACAATTCTGAGAGGTAAAGAAAACGAGAGAACTGTTCCATGCTCTGAGTGAGGCCTGCTGGTGTAGAGCAGATGTCACACTGAGATCTGCCTAAACATTCCTGTCACCCCTGGAAATAGTCACATATTTGACTCACTGGCCATGAGTTCAGTGGCTTGCAAATGAGCCAACCCCAGAAGAGAAAGAGAATCCAGGAGGGCTCTTCACCATCCTCCCTCTGCCACAAGGAGCCTGATGGGTCTTTTTAAGCCATCCCAGCCTAGGCCAACACCTGCTCATGGAGTTTATTGGCACAAGTCTAATTCCTTGACTCCTGTTTGCCTGAGTCAGTCCCAGAGAAATCACTCTGCTCTGAGATCAGCACCTGCCCAAATGGAAGCATTTAAAAAAGAGCAAAGGAAATGTGTCATTAAAAACAAGGAGGTAAAACATTGCCTCACCTTGAGTACCATCACTTCACACTCTCAAAGGACAACTCCACTACACCCCTGCAAGCACTTCAGTCTTGTTCAGTCTTTCACTCGAGTATTTAGCCAAGCACATTGTCCAAATCCAGGATTATTAAGGAGGGTGAGGCTCAGGAAGTCTTTGCCAGGTCATGCCCTGTACCCAGTCCCACTGGCAGGAAAATGGGATTTTTCATATTTGGCTTTCTCTACACTGTCAAATAATTCTGCATTGGAAATGAGGACAGAACGTAGAGACTGTGCAATTATTGGTTGCAGACTGATCATCTCTGGCATTGCCACCCTCCTTGGAACTGCACCATTGCTGGGGAAGTCAGGGAGTCAGTGTCAGGCTCCTCAGGTTTCCACTCAAATCCCTCTTCTCTCAGCTTTTCCATGTTCCTAGCGCTGATCCATCTCCTCCAGAGGCAGCAGAAAGTCAATTCCATGGTATTTCAGGAGTTCTTTTCACAGGAACAAGCTCCAGCAGCCAGGCCCCAAACCCAGGGGATTCTCCTCTCCAACCCATTAGTGAGCAGCCACGAAGTTCCCACAGCTGCACTCCTACTTCTGGAAAGGTTGTGTGTCCAGGGAAGGGCTTTTTTTCCACAATTTCCTCCTTACAAAGCGACAAATTTCAACCATGAACCCCAAGGACACCACGTACATGGCCAGGCCCCCAGCCTTGAGGAGCCAGTTGGGTTCGGGGGATGTCACCATCCCATACATGATCCACGCTCCTGCCCCGATCCGCAGCACCAGGAAGAGCAGCACAAAGAGGAAATCCACCACTTTTCCCAGGAAAGTGTGGTAAGAGCCCATTTCCCGCAGGAACCAGCGGGTCTGGAGCAGGGGGTTGGTGATTTCACTGACAAACACCACAGCGTTCACTTCCGTGGCGGATTTGCCCAGCCCCAGCACCAGGATCATGCCACAGATGCTCAGGGTGTGGTGGAGCAGCATCAGGTCCCCCTCTGTCTGGAAGTACAGGCACCAGCCCAGGTCAAAGATGAAGTAGCCCAAGGTCAGGGACAGCACATGGATCTGGAGAGGGGTGTTTGGTGAACCTGGAATGGAAGATGTGCATAAGCCTGGGGTCTTATTGAAGATATTTTTCTACTTTACAGCTTGAGTTTGCTTCTCTCCCAAATTTCCAGCCTTATCCAAGTGCCAGGAATTCGGAATCTTTGGTTCTGCTTCCTCTTCACACCCCAGCCTGCCCAGCAGACCCATCCCATCCTGCCCCACTGCTGCTTCCCTTCTCCTTTCCAGCCTTTTAGAAAAGCCAGGCCTCCACCAGCAGCACTATCTGAGATCCAGCGATAGAAACCAGCCAGCAAAACCCTGCAGCTGAATGGCAGGAGTTATTACACCCTTCAAGAAGCAAAAGCACTTTGTTCTCCACACATTGCTACACCTGATGCTGCAATAAACTCAAGCTGCCAACCTGAAAACTTCCAATTTGCACATGGACAAGCTAAAAAAAAAATAAAAATTTAAAGGAGCAGAAGGATGAACAGTGAGAAGCGGGGGGAAAAGAAGCAGCGGAATTAATCAAAATTTGGCCTCAAACACACACCTGTAAGAGGAGAGGAAATCAGGCCATACCTCCACGTGTGACAGAGGCACAGGTGAGCACAGGTGAGATTCCAAACATACCTGCATGTGTCAGAGGCCAGGGGCCATCCAGGAACACGACATAGCCGGAGAGGAAGGTGACAATGAGCCCGTGCAGGAGGGTGACCAGGCGACAGCTCCACTTGCAGGAACGCTGCCTGCTCCAGTGGCAGAGGCAGCTGTAGAGACACAGCCAGGTGACAAAGCTGCAGGTCACCTCCAGGACGATGGGAACCATCCTGCTGGACACAGAGGGACAGCGTGAGGAGGGCAGCAGCCCCTCAGAAAGAAGTGTTCATCCCCACCGTCCTTCGTACCCACCCCAGCACATCCATAGAAATCCGGATAGGGTGGGGAAAAACCCCACAAACAACCGAAACGAGCCAAACAAACCTTGTACCCCTCCCGCGAGCACCGCGCTCCCCCGAGCCCCCTTAGCCCCGTTTCCAGATGCCCAAACCCGAACGGGAAAAGCGCAATCCCAACCCTCCCGCTGCCAAAGCGCCTCTGCCCGCTGGGACCAGGACCCTGAAGGGGAGCAGACCCCATCCCCATCTCGGCACGGGAGTGCGGGTACCCGACAAGCCGAGAGCCCCAAATCCTCACCCCGCTCCGGAACCGACCCCGCTCCGGCTCTGCGTGCCCGGAACCTGCGCCCGGCTGGGGCTGCCCGGGCGGGGAGGCGGTGCTGGAGCTCTCGGAGCCTTTTATCGTCCCTGTCCTGCCCTTCCCTGCCCTCCCCTGCCCTGCCCAGCCCTGCCCAGCCCGGCCCGGCCCCCTCGGCATCCCCCGAGGATGCTCCGCTGCATCCCCGCTCGCTCAGCCCCGCTGTACCTGCCCCGGGGGCGGCCGGGGATGCGCGGAGCGGAGCTGGAGCCCCGGGGCAGGGCCAGAGCCGGGCCAGGGCGGGCAGGGAAGGGGGAACGGGGCGGGGGAAGCGGGACAGGCGTTTGGTACCTCCGCCCAGCCTCGGCCCGCCCGGCTGGAGCCGTCCCGGAGGGCGCCCAGACTTTATTTAGGCTGAGAGTTTTCCTCTCTGGTGATGGAGAATAAAGGTGGATCAGGCGAGAGGGGAGGTGCTGGTGTCCTTTTTTTCCTTTAATCCTTTTTTCACTTTTTTTTTTTCTGTTTTTTCCTGAGTGTTTTTCTGTTTTTTCCCGTGTTTTTTCCGAGTGTTCTGGAGTTTTTCAATTCTTCTCCCGGCTGCGGGGACAGGGAGCTGACTGCAGGGAGGGCAGGCTCAGGCAGGAGCTCGGCACTGGGTCCGGGGCTGGGAGCGGTGCCGGCCACTCGGTGCTCAGGAGATGTGACACACAACGTGCAGAACAGGATGGGTGAGCCAGGAGCTGAGCTGGGGCCAAGTTCAGGGCGAGGAGTGAGTAACCAGGACAGGGCTGTGCTTCCTCCAAGCCCTGCCAGCCAGCTCGGTGTCAGCGCTGTGTCATCCCTGACTCAGTTTACTTTAAAAATCTGATACCGTGTCCCACAAACGACCCAAATTTTCCCTCTAGCCAGAGCTGAATGCTGTGAATGAAACCACTGAGAGCACAAGAGCCCTTCTCAGGGAGATCTGCACTCCACAGGATGCCCCTATGAGTTATACATTCAAATATCCTTTTAACTGGATCATAAATTATAGTTTGCTCTTATATTTGAGCTAAAACTTGTCGATTTTTTGTCTCCCTTCCTAGCATTTGGAAATCCAGCACAAAGGGGGGTCCAACTGCCCCCTTTGAATATTTGAATATTAATCCCTGCTGGCATCTGTAAAGATGAGCCTGAATTTAAACTAAAATGTTTTATTGGACTCTTAGGATCCATGCTAATTCTACCAGAGATGGAAATCCCAAGGCTGTGAGCATCAGGAGCAATGAGGGAACTTGGTGGCATCATTTGGGCACTGAGAAATGCTCAAAATCTCCCTTCAGGCCACAGGAAACTCTGTGAAGGATAAGGAATATTCTCCCAGCTTGCACTCCGTCTCCTCACAGGTGGAAATCAGAGGAGGAAAGGAATGAATGAACAGTAAAAGAAATTAAATACCAACAACAATTTGTTAATTTTCCAGCTCTCCCCAGCCTCACTTGAACTTGGGCACTGCTAAATGTGAATTTATGAGGTACCCCAGCACCTGGTGTGCAGCTGGAATTGCCACAGCAGCTCTCCTTGGAGAAGGACAGGGAGCACAGGGATGGTTCAGACACAGGAACTGCTCTGGGGACAGCTCAGGAGGTGACTGAGCTATCCCAGGGAGCAATTGCTCCCTGCATTGTTCCTCTGTGGCTGTGGGAGGTGACTCGGTCCTGGAAAGCTGGAATTTCCTGCTCTGTTTATTTTAAATCCCTGTGATGCTCCCCTGCGAGGCTGGAAGCGTTCCTGGGTGGCAGGGGAACGAAGCTCTCTCCCTTCCAACTGGAGCTTTTTGTGGAGCAAACTGCTGGTGTTTGTTTTCCCACTCAGGGCCAGTTTATCCATAAATCCCAGGGATTTGTCCTTGTGATTATAAACTTTGTGGAGGAGATGAACCCTCAGGATATATTTGCACAATGCCTGGCACAGCTTGGCCTTGATCTCAGCAGAAATATTCACGTGCAGGTGCTGTTATTCAGCTTTTAATACATTAGTAATTTCCCTCCCAGTTTTCAGACACATTATTCCAAAATTCATGCAGGTGGGAGCAAAAAAAAAAAAACTTGGAGGAATTCCTGAGAACCAAATGGAATAGTTTGGAATAGAAGCCAGATTTGGATCTTAAATGTATCTTCTCAAGGCTCTAAGAGCATATGGATGTACAGTAAATTGTAAACAGATTATTGGAAATAGCTGATTTAACTTTGTTTTTGATCCCTTTTGACCAAGAAGTTGACAAACCTCTGCAAGTCTCAACCAAGTCACCTGACTCTGAAGGCAAAATACAAATGACAGCTCAGCTCCCAGGAGTTAATTCAGGAATTCCTGGGTAAAATGTGCAGGCCAAGGTTATGAAGACAATCAGTGCTCACTGTCGAAATAATTGCTGATAATCTATGAAATAATTTAAGATTTTCACAGTAGAAACAAGCTGGAAACTACAGCTGTGCTGAGGTTTGGGTTAATAAATGTCCTGGGTGATGGGTGGCAGGAGAATCTGCCGGGATGTTCATTATTCCCTAAATTCTGTTATTTGGCACAAATTGAGCCAAATAACTGGGAAAAAGAAACAGGAATTTCATCACCATTGTCTATCCAAGTCCTTTCTCCAAGGTCATGCAGGAAGTAAAATAAGACAGAACAGCCCAAAGGTTCAGATCAGTGTTTAAATTTGTCCTTCTTATCTGCTAATCTTAATTATATTATTAATTAATTGATAAGTATCATTATCAGCCAAAATGTATTAAAAATAATGGAAAAATAAGAGTGGAATTGTAGCCACGATTTTCCTGGTGATAGGCTGTGAAAATTTACTTTTCCTTTGGAATCTCATGGAATTCCCAAACATTTGCACACACCAACCTCAAGTAATACTATGTAAGCAGAAAAACGGGGAACAGAAAATAAATTCCTTCCAGCTCAAAGACCAGAGGGCACCTCAATAATAGCTTGTTATTATTTGGTATCAGTTAAAACCCAAAAAAGAGGAAAATAAATAAAAAAGGAAAGGTCAAGACTCATCCTCATCCAACTAAATCAACACAAACCACAATTTCCCCCAAGGTTTTCAGCAATAACAAGACCTGGACACAAAGTTTTGCAAAAGACAATTTTTTTTTTGGTTGTTTGTATTTTTTTTTAAAGGAAAAAAATAAGAAGGCTCTAAAATACTTAATTAAAAAAAAAAAAAAAAAAAGGAAGAAAATAAAACAACAAAAAAAGCACCTTTAGAAAGGGAGCGGGAGGCGCAAAGCAAGTGGATGAGGAGCCTGGGGAAAAACCAAGGCTCCCACCCAGCCACGGGGCTGCGGTGAAATGAACTCAAACCTCGGCTCAGTTTGGGGGCTGTGCGTGACAGGAACAGCAGGAGGGACCCTCCTTCCTTTTGGGAATCTCTGGGATTTGGGACAGGATGGGACAGAGAGACAGAGAGAGAGGAGAGTCCTGAGCCAGGAGCCCTGCCCGGGAGGATGCGGAGCTGCAAGCGGAGGAGCCATGCGAGGGACAGTGTCACCGTGGGGGCTCGGGGAGGGGACAATGTCACTGTGGGGCTGGGGCAAGAGGGGAAAATGTCACCGTGGGGGCTCGGGGAAGGGCTGGGCTGCAGTTTGAGTCCCTGCACAGCCCCGCTGCCGGGGGTTCCTGGAGGCGCTGGAAGGCACTGGAAGGCCCCGAGCGTCACGGATGGGGCACGGCCTGGAGCTGCTCTCGCCCTCGCTGCTGCAGGAGGGCTCAGTGGAGGTAGGTGGGTTGGTTCCATCGGTACCAGGAGCTGTCGGCAACATGGGACAACAAAAGTGTCACCTCGGAGTGAGAATCATCCCCATTTCCCCACTGGGCTCAGCACTCTGGGCAGGGAGCATTGGAGAGGGGATAAATCACACCCTGCCCTCCTCTCCCCGTGCCCTGCGTGGCTCCCAGGGACACAACACCCACAGCCAGAGCTCTCATGGATGTTTCCATTCGTATTCCAGGCTACAAACACCATCCCCATATCCAAGGCCATAGGAAGAAATCAGAATTAAGTGTTCCCTCACAGCATCCCCCCCCTTGTTTCTAAACAAGATCTTCGGGTGCTACCTGGCCTTTTTTTTTTTATTATTTTAAAATCACAAAAGTTTTTGTTGGAAAAAAGCTTCATTTCATTTTAATGTTTCCACTGAAACAAAGAAGATAAAAGTGTTTCAGTTAGAGGTAAATGATAAGTGGGGGAATCCAAAAATCATTTCTCCCTTTTTTTTTGTGTCATAGCATTTTGAAAAGAACTTACTTTACTATTAAAAAAAAAAAGTTCCCTAATATTTTTCAGTCTCTGCTTCTATAACAAAACCTCACTCTGAGCAACAAATTTTTTGTTGCAGGGACAAAATAAGGGGAGGGGGACTCATGGCACAGGGTGATCCCTCCTAACTCAGCATCCTCGAGGTGATGCAGCAGAAATCACAAGTGCAGATTTAATGCTTTTGCAGCCTCTAAAGGTAGGGCAGAGGTAAAAAAGATTCTTTGTTTTGCCGCTGTGGAAGAGTTGCTCACAGCAGAGCTCTGTGGGTGGCACTGCAGGAGAGAAAACTGGCTGTGGAGGGGGTTATCCAAGCAGGAACAGCAAAATAAACCTTCCTCTGCTTCCTTCACAAGGAGTCAGGTGAGGACATTGTTTCTAATCACTTTGAGGCTGGTTTTTTAATTTATTTTTTTTTTAACCAGCACAGTTGTTCAGGAAAAACCTGACAGATTTTCATTTTCAAGCAGAAAAAACAGCCACATCCCAAGAATCACAGAATATCCTGAGCTGGAAGGGACCCAGCAGAATCACCAAATCCAACTTCTGTCCCTGCACAGGACACCCCAACAATCCTACCCTGTCCCTGAGGGCTCACACATGGGAACACTCCACTGGAACCTCTGAGAGCTTTCCTGCTCTTCCTGGAGATCCCAGTGTCGCCCTGGGTTGGTTTGGGGGTGTTTTCTTGTCAGCTGTGCCTTACCCTGAAGAGTTGAAGCCAGAAGAGTTCATGGCAGCTTTGGAGTTGCTCTGGGCTGTGCCGGGGCTGCTGGCATGGAGGGCACTGCCAGGGGACGAGGGCCTGCTGGAGTTCCCTGGGGAGCACGAGGATGTCACTGCAGGGGGAGAGCACAGTGAGCCTGGCAGCTCCTCCTCCTCCTGCCCAAACATTCCCAGCCTATCCCTGTGCCCATCCCCTGGCTCCTCTGATTCCCTGTCCCTGCCCTGGGGAAGTGAAGGGGACCCCAGGAATGTTCCCTGTTCCTGTCTCTGGGAATCTCAGGTCTCCAAGCAGATCTGACTCCAACCCACCCTTTGATTTGGCTCCCAGTTCTGCCTGCTTCCCAAACCTAAACACCCCAGCCTAGGATTATGCTGGAAATGTTCTTTTGCCCAGTGTTTTCCATGTTTTTATCCCACCCAACAGCAAGAGGGGGCTGTTCTTATCCCATCTGTGTGGGGGCACTTTCCCTGGCCAAAGCCAAGGGTCCGATGAGGATTATCCTGCAAATGTGAGACCGAAATGGAGGAGTCAGGGATAAAAGGGCAGAGGAAGGAGGGAAGGGAGATTTCCCAAGGCTCACCAGTCCCAGGCATGGTGCTGTGCACTGGATTGACGGAGAGGGGCCCCAAGGACCCTGAGGTAGAGACCTAGGCAGGACCAGAGGCAGGCAGTGAGCATTTGGCACCGAGAGGGGATAAATCACATCCTCCCCTGCTCTCCTGTGCCCTGAGTGGCTCCCAGGGACACAACACCAACAGCCAGGGCTCTCATGGATATTTCCATTCATATTCCAGTGTAGAAACGCCATTCCCATATCCAAGGCCACGGGAAGAAATCAGAATTAAGTGTTTCATCACAGCATCCCCCCCTTGTTTCTAAACAAGATCTTCAGGTGCTACGTGGCCTTCTTTTTTTTAATCACAAAAGATTGTTATAATTTGATTGTTTTCGATGGCTGGAATAATAATAAATGTTCTGGCCCAGGTTCCATTCAAGTCCCTCACCAGTCTGGAGTTGTAGATGGGTGATTTGATGGGGGATGGCATCGGGCAGCTGATCCGCTTTTCCTTCTGGCGCCGGTTGCAGAACCAGACCCGAACCACTTCCTTTTCCATGGAGAGCTGCTCTGCTATCAAGGAGATCTCCTCTGAACTGGGCTTGGGGTTCTGCTGAGAGAGGCAGGAGGTTAAAAAAGCCCCAAAGATCATCAGGGGCTGCTGGCAGGACAAGGGTGGGCTTGGCTGAGAGCTGGGGAGGGGACAGAAGCTCCTTCTGAGGCCGAGGGTAAATATTTGGGTGAGAGATTATGTTCTGTGAACCACAAAGTGCCTCTGGTTCCACCTCGGCTCTCCCAGAGTCAGGGGGGGATGAGTCACACCTCCTGCCCCTGTTACTGCACAAATCACTTCCCTCTTTGACCTTTACAGCACCAAAATCTCTGCTGGGGTCACCTAAACCTGGTGGCCTCAGCCCTGTCCAGGGGACAGGAGCCCTGGGTGCTGCTCTCAGAAGAGCCACAGCCCCTCTCTTGCCCCAGCCTTCATTCAGAAAGGGAAATAACAGAGCCCACCCTGCCCCTGAGTCATTTATTTTCACTCCTTTCAGCTCTGTGGGGTTTGCTCAGAGTTGAAGCTCAGAAATGTTGAAGATCCCTGGCACAGAGATGCCAAGATAACATTCCCATGACAGAGAATGCCTTCTACCAGCTAAAAAGGAGCTGCTAAAATGATCTGGTGATGACTGACAAAGTTTTGATATGAGGGAGAAACCAAGAAAAAACAAGTTCAGAAAAAGTTTTGATTTGAGGAATTTCCAATGCGCAGTTTAGTCCTATTGATTAAAGCTCTGTTTGATGTCTGGAGTGATTCTTCTTGAAATTCTTGGAGCTTAAAAAGTAGAAGGGCTTCACTTCTGAATGGGTTCAGGAGAAATATTTGGAGCAGCAAGTCCTGGGGTCTCACAAGAGCTGCTTAATGGGGCCACAGAGCTCCTGTGACACGTCTGCAACTCAAAAAGAAAAGAGCTGGGTGCAGAGTTCAGCTTTGGCCCAGTGGGTGATTATGGGAAAATGTGGTGCTAAAGTCATAATTCCCTTAGAACAACACTCAACAAGGGAATAATTGGGGATTTCTCTGGGTTTAACACTTCACCTGTTAACTCCTTCATGCATTTTCTAACTTACTGTCAAATAATAGGGAATTTCTTTGGGTCTAACACTTGTTGCTTCTTCAAGCATTTCCTAACCTGCTATCAAAAAAAATACCCCCAAAAAAGTTCTTTTCTTGAGAGGGCCCAGTGCTACGAGCTTGCAAATGCCAGGCTCAGGGAGAGTTGCCAAGAGAAGGAAAGATTTTCCCCTCACATCTTGGAATCTCTTCTCCAGTGTGGAGCGGATGTTGGTCTCGATGCTGGTCCTCTTCTTCCTTTTCCGTCCAAACATCTCGTTCACTGAGGGGTAGGAATTGGGGGTGCTCATGGAGGAATCCAAAGGAGCAGATTCTGGGGGAAGAGGGAAGGGGGGGAAAAAAGAGATATCCAACAGATAATGAGTTATTTTCATTCCCAGATACTTTCTGTGGAACAAAGGTGCCTTCTGAAATAGATAAATCGTTCCTACATTGTGGATCCTCCCTCTGATGATGATTAAAATGCTCCAAATCCATCAATGAGCTCACCCAAATCAAAGAAGAAAAACGTTTTAACCCACACACCATTTTTCCTTTGTGAGCCTCATTTCCATCCTGCTCTGATAGGGACCAGGAGTGTTCCAATAATTTAATTTCACACAGAAAAGGATGTTGGCCAAACCACTTGGCTCGGGGTGGCTGAGATGTGAGCAATGGCTCAGACATCTTGAAGGGCTGGGTGAAGCACGAGGCTGACGTGGGGTCAGCACAGGACACCACCCCAAATCCTGCTGCCCCTGGGAATTCCCTTCTCAGTGAAATCCTTCCTTTGCCAGCTGCACCTCTAGGGCTGATCCCTGAGCACCTCAGCACTTCCTCCCCTTCTTTTCCAGCTCACACAGAGGGTGGATTAATGGATTGGAGGTTCCTGGGTGGATGCTCTCCGTTTCTGCCCTGGTGTCACCTACCTGCGTCACTGAGCCACTTCTCCAGCAGGGGCTTGAGCTTGCACATGTTCTTGAAGCTCAGGTTGAGAGCCTCGAAGCGGGAGATCGTGGTCTGGCTGAAGTCGTTGCCGTAGAGCTTCCCCATGGCCAGGCCAACGTCACCCTGCCAGGGGACACCCAAATCCCCTCGTGAGCGCAGGGAGAGCCCTCCCAGAACCACAGGGGCACAGAATTCACGGTGGAATGGAAAAGATCTTTGACATCATCGAGTCCAGCCTATGAGCCAACACCTCCTCATCAACTAAAGCACGTTTTAAACACCACCAGCTCCTTGGGCAGATGATTCCAGTGCCCAATCGCTCCTTCAGTGACGAATTTATTCCTAAGGTAGCCTAAACTTCCCCTCAGGCTGCTTCCAGGATAGCTTCAGTCTTGTTTCCATCACTTGCCTGCCAGGTAAAGGGGATTTTTTTTCCCTCTCCAAAGGAATCCGCCCCCACCCCTGAATCCTGGAGAAGGTGCAGATATCGAGGTTATGGTGGTGAGGTGTTAGAAAGGGTTTGTGTCTTGATGTATTTGGAAGGGAATGCTGCAAAATAACCCAAATTTACCTAATCCAGCCTTTCCTTCATCCACACCTCTGCCCCCAACTGCCCCCATCCCCTCCCTCTCACCTGTGTGAACCCCAGCTTGATCCTCCTTTGTTTGAAAGTCTTTGCAAACTTCTCCAGCTCCTCCAGGTCGCTGGGCTCCTCGGAAGCTCCTGCTGGGGTCAGGTGCTTTGCCACTTGCAAGTGCTGGGGGACGTCCAGGTGGGGCTCAACCGAGGAGCCAGGGAGGCCAGAGCGCCCCACAGCCTGTCCAAAGCACCCCAAAGAAGATGCTCAGGGTCACAAGAACAGAAAAGCACGCTCTCCTCTGTGCTGTTTGTCCTCCCCAAAGCAGCAGGTGGAGCTCACCACGCCCTCAGGTGTGTTCTTACCTGGGAGGCCAGGCTGGGTCCGGGCTGGGAGAGGAGGAGGCTGCCCTGTTGCTGAGGGAAGGAGAGGAGGTTTGGCTGCAAAGCTGAGGGGAAAAAAACAAGAGACACATCTGGTCAGTGAACACCCCCAGGGAAGCTCGGAGCAGGAAGCAACATTTGATATTTCTTGCCCAAAATACAAGAATTTCAGCTGTTAGGAGAGTGTCTGGCTCTGAGCTGGATTATGAGAAAGAAAAGGTTCTTCCCATGGCTTTTTAGCCTGCAAGGGATTATTACAATAATGATAGAAGTGAAATATCTCATTTGCTGATCCCTGCGTGTCACTCATCACACTCAGGCATTGCAGAGACCTCTAATCTTGATTTTAGGTGCCAAGCAGCAGAGAATTTCCTTCGTGGGGATCTCTCCCAGTGCTCAATTATTGTAGCTCTTAGAAAAATGGACCTCTTATTTCCAATATAAGTCCTTGTGACTCCAACATTTAGCCATTTGATCTTGTTAAAAAAACCCTGATCTTCCAGTTAATCTTGTGAGCCCTCCCACTCTGCTCTCAATTCTACATTTCATTTTCAAATGTCATTCAGAAGCCATCTGACCCTTTCTTTCCTACCCTACTGTATTTCAAATAAATTGAATTTCTTTCAGAACGCTGGAGCTGACACAAAATGATGAAAGGAAAAAAGAAGGGAAATCCATAAACCCAACAAAAACTGGGATTTATGGAGGCTGTGTAATTGTTTAGTTGACAAACTGCCAAGTACAAGCCTATAGCTCTTAGAGGGAATGTCCTACAGGATTAGGTTGTGTAGTTCCCCAGAAATTTAGTTGGTATCAAGTCCATTGTGAGTGAAACCTATAGAATTTAGTGAGGATTTATAACCTTGCTCAGAGCAGTCAATATATTTAATTGATTATAACTGACAATTACAGGGAAATCCATAGAAATTTATGGACTTCTGCTAATAAAAGGGAAAACACATAATCTCCAGAATCAATCACTCCCCCTCTCTCTCTCTTTCTGCCTTTTCTTATTTAATTTAGATCTGATGTGTACAATCCCATTTATTTACTTAGGCTGGGGTTGGAATAAAGCTTCCCTAATGCTGGAAGAACTCAGAATTTCATATCTGGGCTGGTAATGAGGTGCACATTTTTACCAGTGCAGGTAATTAATCACAGCAATGGCTTTGCCTTGGGACATGGCAGATGCTCTGTCATTTGGAGTCTTTAAAATCATGATTGAACACCTCAGCTCCAGCTCTGAGGGAAATGAAGGGCTGGATTCAGGAATCACCGGTCTGACAGCTGGGATGAAGATTTCAGCAGCAATATTTAGACTGACAGGATTCCCAAAATCTCCTGTTCATTCCCACCTTGAGAGAGCTCTCCCAGCCTGACTCGGGTGTGTCAGGATTCGGGCTGCACAGGGAATGAGGAGTCACACCTGGGCATTTATCTGACAGCTTCAAAACACAACCAAACTAAAATTCATATCCCTTGTTGGAAAGGTTCAGCCCCCAGCCAAGCCCCTTCGGCCACAAAATCCATTTGTGGACCCAGAGTCCAAAATCAGAGAATTCCCTGATGGCCCCAGGGACAATTCTGGAATATTTTCTGCCTTCCTTCAGGAGGAAGAAAACTCCACTTGAACCAAATTCCACAAAGCCAACCTGAACCTTTGTTTTTACTCTCCACTGGCTGTGCATGCACGTGGCAAAAGGATCATTAAAACCTGGCAAACACCCATGCAAATGGAAATGTCCTGCACAAAAATCCAGCTCCTGGCCAGAATATCCAGTCCTGGTCAAGGCTGGAGCTGGAAGAGGTGACAACCAAACATATCTGCCAAAAAATGTCACTGAACAGATAAATTCTAATCTAACAGAGGCAGCAAAAGCTCTGCTTTGCAGTAAAAGATGTTTATTATTCCTGAGTAGAAGCAGGCAGAGAGGAATAGATTGTCCTGACCGCATTTCAAACAAACTAATTCAAAATCATTTGTAAATATACATCAAGTATCTTTATCCATCACTCAGAGTCATTTGGCAGAGAGGAGAATTTATATATTGGCAGGAAGAAATAAATTCCCCACTTGCTTTTGGAGTGTGTGAACCAGTGGGTTCAAGCTGCAGAGATTTAAGGTTATAATCCTGAATTTTAGTTCATGTGGAGGGAGCTCTGTGCTGGGATAAATCAAGAGCACAAAGGATCCAAGTCCCCTTGGATCTGCAGGGTTATGAATTAAAGCCCAAAACATCCTCCATCCACATCCCTGGGGTGGGAGAAATGCTGTAAAAACGCTGGGGGTTAAAACAGAATTAGAGGGACTTTCTCTGAGCGAGTCCTCAGTGCTTTCCTGGAGCTGATCTCTCCGTGTTTCAGGAGCAGGGACACCTTTCCTGCCCTGTGGAATACCCAAACCTCTGGCTCCCATCCCGGACCTGCTCCTGGCTAAGCTGGACCTGTTCTGCTCCTTCCCTGGATTTACCCTCCCTCCAAACGATCATCCCGACCTCTGATGATCTTTCTGGAATTAATGAGGAGTGGGAGGGTGCCCGGGGGGGTGGCCCCGCTCCCCAAGGAGCAGCTCCTTCTCCGTTTTGCTGGAAAAGCGGGAGCTGTCCCGAATTCCAGGCTGGGATCGCTGCCTGGCCCCAAGGTGGCACTGGTGGAGCGCACAAGGTGCAGGTGCCAGCGGCTCCCGCATGGATCTGGGATCATCCCCGCTGTGGGAACGGGCAGCATCACGCTGGGAAAATCCATGAGAAGGGAGGTTTTCCCTAAATATTTATTCATCCCTGACGCCTCAGGATTTCAGCTTTTCTGTTTCTCACACATCTGTAATCCTGCCATTCCTCAGTGTGGAACTCCAAACTCCACACACACTGGGAGCTGCTGCTTCCCCACTTTGGGCAGACACAACAATTCCTCTCCAGGCCTGGCAATCAAGGACACCTCACTGCCTCAGGCCCCAGAGATGGAAACAAAAGGGAGTTGGGGGCAGCAAACTTGGGGGAAATTCCTTCATTCCCTGCAGCTGGAATTGGGAGATGAACCCCCAATGTGCAAATGGACCAAACTTAGAAAAGTGTCAAAACCTGTGAGCCATTTTTGGGTGCAGCCCCTGAGGGGCTTTGTCTGCCCTAAATGCACCTGAAGGCCCTTCAATAAATAGATCTGCTTTTTATTCTCTGAATTTTGTCTGGATTCTGTTTTTAGGTAAGCCCCCAAAAGGCATCATCTCAGCTTTTCTTTCTCTTACCTTGTTGTCCTGCCTGAGACTGGGACAGAAGGAACTGGGGGACTGACTGCATGTGCCCAGGAAGCAACACCAGCTGCTGCAGGGTGTGGAGAGAGCTCATGTCCTACAGAAAAAAGAAAAGGGAACAATAAAACTCGAGGATTTATCCTCCTCACTCAGCATCTCCTCACAAATCCACACTGAATTTGTGTAATTTGGGGGTTGGAGAGCTGCAGGTCCAAAAGTTTCAGGTGTAGGAGGAGATTCTGTTCATACAGAGACATCCATGTGGAGAACTGTCTGCTTTTCCCTGGAAAACTTAACCCCTGATGACATTTTTGATCCAAAGATTTCAGGTGTGAGAGAAGAATTCTCACTGAATTTGGGAAATTTGGGGACTGGAGAGCTGCAGGTCCAAAAGTTTCAAGAGAAGAACTTGGTGCATACAGAGACATCCATGTGGAGAACTGTCTGCTTTTCCCTGGAAAACTTAACTCTTGATAAAGACATTTTTGAGGCAATCAAACTCTAGTTTTTAGAAGAGTGAAACCTCTCAGATTTCAGTTTCTTAAGGTATTTCCAGAGAGAACTGCCTAAAATCACAGCAAATTGCACCAGGCTGTCCCAGCTCACCAGCACTGCTTCCCACAGGACTGTTCTGAAACCTGGGGGAAATTGAAGAATCCCCAAACTGTATAATGGATCTGAATACACTGTGAAAGAATGAGGGAAAGGATTACTGAGCATCTGTGTGCCCACCTGGCATCCAACTCCCACTGGAATTCAGCAAGAGTTAAGTGCTGATCTCCAAATTTTTTACCTTAGGGGGAAAAAAAAATCCCTCGAGGAATTAATTTCTTCCCCGGTGTAAATCAATCTGAGGCAACAACGAGCTCAGATTAGGAGTTAATCTGGTCTAGAATCCTACCTCCAACAATGGCATTAACCAGACACTCATGAATGAGGAAGAGCAGGGCAAACATTATCAAACACTTTCCCCTGGTGCTGTCTCAGCCTCCAATTGTTTCCAGTCCGAGGGATTTCCTGAGCATGGGGTGGTTTGGGGTGCTTTCCCTGCTTGGCAAACCCTCAGAGGAAATCCCATCCCAGCACATGTCCAGTCTACCCTTGAACACACGAGGAAAAACTGAGGAGGAAGATGAGGATTCACTTTTCCAGATCAGTGTTCCCCACCCTCTCAGGTTCCAAGGGATTTGGGGGGGGGGTCAGGAGCAGCCTTTTCCTGGGATCCTGGGAGCAGCCAGGTCACTCACCCCTGCGATTTGGCTCCCTGGCATCATGGATGATCCCTGCACGAGGTGACCCGACCGAGGGGGGATGGCAGATTGCAAGGAGTCGCTGAGGTCCTCGGTTTTAATCTGCAAAAGAGCAAAGGAATTGTAGAATTAGGGATGGGCAGCAGTGGGCAGCTGGGATCCCAGAGGCTGGAACAGGCTCTTTTCAGGGAATTTTCAGCTGCTTCCATCGCTGAAAATCAGGGTCATTCCACACTCCTGCTCTCCACTCTATCCCATGGCCAGTTTTCCTGCTCTGCCAAGCCCAGGGCAAGCTGGCACTTTGGGAATTAAAACACTTTTGGAATTAAAACACTTTGGGAATTAAAACACTTTGTGAAACAACCCATTTCAAGCAGCTTTGCAAAGTTTAAAGCCTTTTGTGGAGTTTTAATGAAGACAAGAAGCAATTCCCCTTTCCAGATCACAACTCAAGCCCCAATAGGAGGGCTGGACGTGGAAAACCTCTCATTTTTCCCTGCACGAAACAGAGAATGGTACAAGGGGATGGGAAAGGATAGGTCATGGAATAGAAGACCTCAAAAAAGCAGAGCAATCTCCCAGACTTGAAAACGCAGCATTCCAGGCTGAATTTCTTCCATTTCTACCAAGAAACAAGAAATTTCAAGGAAAATCTCCTTCCTCAGTTACAAGCTGTGGAAAAATAACTGGAAAACTTCACAGGTATCCAGTGGTCTTCTTGAGCTACTTTAATGTTCAAGCAAAGTTCTTGTCCACAAGAAAAATCATGATTTTTAAATCCACATTCTTAGAAAAAAATGCACCCAGGGACCAGAACTGAATCCTTGTTTCTGGTTTATTTCACAATCTCCATGTTCATTTCTAAGACTGCTAATACTATTTTGAAAAATTAATTTATTAAGAAATAATAATAATAAAAATCTGTTCCAATTGTTGTAGTAGGTGAAATATTTTGGTAGTGCTGACTGGGACAGGAGGGAGGGAGGATTTTGGAAGCTTTTAGGTTAATTCCTGAAAGGTGAGTGAGGAGTGTCCCTGCACAGGGGACAGGTAAAAGATACAGAACTCTCCTCCAAGAAAAAATTGACCCAAACCTTTTTTCAGCATAAGAACACCCTGAAAAAAGTTTATTCCTCATCACAGCAAGAACAGCCTCTGATTCCCAAAAACTGGAAAAACCAGGAGGACTCCACAAAGGACATGGTTTGAAACTCCTGAAGATTCACCCTGACTCCTAAGGCTGACCATCCCCAGGTCCCACCAGATCCCTTCCAAACCTCACATCCCCAAAGGTGAGGAGGGTCTTTGCCCCACTGATGGGGCTCGAGGCCCTGCAGCCTCCTGCCAGCAGAGGGGGACAAGAAATCCAGCTCTGCAAAAATATTCATCCCAAGTGAATATTTTGGAGTTGAAGGAGCTTTTCTGCCCATCTGAGCAAAGCACAGAATAATTTCGGTTGGAAGAGACCTCTACAATCACCGAGTCCAAGCTTTGATGGATCTCCATGAGAGGAGAAAAGGGGAAAAAGGGATCACAAGAGGCTCAACAGCTCCAGAGCAGGGAGCTGCAACGTTCCCCTGTGCATTTTGGAAGGTGCTGCTCCGAGGGAAGGTGATTACAACACCCCCTTTCATTACAACCTGAGCTCTGGACACCGCCGAAACTCGTTTTGCAATAATCCCAGCTCCTTGCAACAAGAGGTAGACATGCTATGAATTCCAGCTCTTTCCTACCTTTCAGGTTGGCATGATCATCCCTCTTAGCCTGGCAGGGCAAAAAAAAAATAAAAAAATAAAAAAGAAATCAGGTGGAAAGATCTTCTCGATCGCTATCGCCAGCGATAAGTCACTAAATGTCAGTCAAAAAGGCTCAGGAGGACACCCCGTTACCCCTGAGCCATCCAGTCACTCCAGGCACGTGGATTTATGGATGTTCCTTGCATTAAAAAGAATCCATCGAAGGCAAAAAAAGAAAAAATAAAAAATATTAAAAAAAATAAAAATAAAAATTAATGTTTATCTGCTTCATCCAAGGCTGAGCAGTCCCAAGAAATTAAAGTTTCTGGCGTCTCAGAGAGCCGGGCTCCGGATCCCGCCTGAGCTGTGATCCCGACACGAGTGGGGTGTTGAAGAGGCACGAGCCATTTCCAAACTGAAATCAATTTTTCCAGCTGCCAAGCGGGACGAGCTGGCGGCGCTCCAGGGAGAAAGGGGTGTGTAGCCGCATCCCGGCATGGCTCGATGTGAGAACGGGAGGTGGGTTTGGCAAAGGACCGGTTCCCGATTTAAAAACAACAACATCTCCCACTGCTCCTTCCCCCGGCCCTGGAATTCTCCCTCCTGCGCAGTGGGCGGGAACCTGGGGTTTGTTCTTGACAAATCCTTCTCCCCCTTGCACCTATTTCCATTGGGTTTAGGCTCAAATTTACCTCGCCCTCCTCTTCCTCTCCCCGACAGGCCTGCAGCTGGATAATTGTTCATTAGCAGGAGTTCGGGATCTATCCAGAACTTTGGGGATGGTTTATGCAAATCCTGCTCTTTCGTTTTTTCCCTGGCTAAACCGGCAATATTGCCAAGTGTACATTAAAAAATCAAAACCAAAAAAACCCCAAAAAACCACACACATTGTGGGCGAGGCCACTCAATACCATGAGACTCCCTTAAAATAATGTAAATTTCAAATTAATAAAACGAGGGGAGGAGTTGCCTCCTCCTTTCCCAGTTCATCTGCCTCGGATTTGCAGAAAATGCCTGCAAATATGGGAAGAGTTTTCCTTGAGGAGCGAAAAAAGGAGAGAAGAAAGGTTGAAATGATGAAATCCTCAGAGAATCACCTCGTGGGGGTATTTGATGGGAACTCTGTGATTTGGGTAAAACCAGGAGCAGATCCCACTGGGATTGCTCAGGATCTTGGTTTTATGGGATGATCATGGATAGGGAAAGGGGAACGAGAAGTCACGGAGAGACTTTGTTCCCACTGAACTGCACTCGGAAAAATAACAGTATTTAAGGAAAACAACGTGGTGTGCTGGAAGCTTCATTGCCCATGGCAAGGGGCTGGAATGGGATGATCTTCCAACCCATTCCATGGAAAAAGGAGCAGGGCAAAGAGCAGGACCTGCAAATCCCCAGGGCTGAGGTGAGGTGTGGGGGCTCTTGGCTGTGAATCCCCAGCACCTTCCCCGCCTGGGGCCAGGCCCAGGGCAGGGCTGGGAGCAGGTAACGGCAGCTGGAGGCACGGGAGCTCCTCGGGGCCAGGGCAGGAATCACACTTGCAAATCTCAAGTGGATGTTTGGATGTTTTCACAGCCCTGAAACAGGGTCAGCCCCCGAGCAAGAAAAACACAGGAAGGGTGACTGGGTGGAAAAGAGAGAGTCCCTTCTGTAGCTGGCTCGAACAGCTGCAAGGATGGATGGTTTCTTACCTATCTCTGGCCTAAACACAAAAACAAAAAGCAAAACAAACTAAGAAACACATTGAGGGTGATGGAAAATGATCAAAGCTCCGGAGCCTGCTTGCGTAACTGATTTGTGGAAGGTGTTTCATAAACATTTCATAAGAAGGAGAATTATGAAGAAAACATCTCCCAACCTGCCTGCAATTACTGCACAAACTCTTCCTTACCAGTAGGAAGAAGGGGAGAGAAAAAAAAAAAAAAAGAAAAAAAGAAAAAAAAAAGGTACATTTGTTTTGTAACTGATCTGTGAACTTCTGGAAAACGCTTGGCTCATGAAAACATCCTGCAGACATCTTGCAGAGCTGTGGAAAGCCAGGGAATTGGGAAGATTCTCCTGAGCAGCTCTGTGTGCTGCTGTTCCCTTCAGATTGACCAGTGTTGGGTTCTGTGTGCTGATGGCTGGATCCCACTGGGTGGGCTGGAGCCCTCCATGGGTAATCCCGGTTTAGGGATAATCTCAACATCTTCCCCGTCCCTCAGACACCAAAGCAGCCCCAGAATCCTCCTTGGGATGAGCTCCCGGTGTGCTCATCATCATCCTCCTCGTTCAGCCACCAAATCAGAGCCTCCAATCCTCTCCCCAAATCCAGATCTCTCCTACCCAAGCCCTGCCAGCCCTCTCCAGCCCCAGTTATCAGGCAGGAACCACATTCGTGGGAGATGGAAGACAACCCTAAACCCTATTTGTTGTGAAGCTCCTATTTAGCCAGTGACCTCTTTGAAACACATTTATCTGCCTCCACATCTGCCTTATCTCGCTGTCAGAGCCGACTTTAAGAGTTTGACTCATTCCCAGCCCTCCAGAGCAGAGGGAAGAAGAGGATCAGGTGCACACAGAGGGTCTGGAGCACCTGGCCCTCACTGAAAAGGAACGACGCAGCTCTGAGTCACCCCAAAATGGTTTGAGTCACCCCAAAGTGCTCTTGAGCACAGAAGAGCTGCCTCAAGCTACCCCAAAACCCTTTGCCTGGAGCCCAGGGAGGAGGTTTTAAGCTGGAAACAGGCATTAATCTGGATCCAAGGCTCTTGCAGCTCCCTGAGCCTTCCCACCTTCCAATGGCGTAAGTGCTCCGCTGTGAATTATCCGCACACGTGGGCCCCATAAAATAAAAAACACACTAATAATAAATTATGGCAATAATAATAATGGGGTTGCAATTACTATTTCCACATGTACTATCCTGCATGTACAGCACGGCTTAACAGACACCTGGAAAGAAGGCAGAAAACCTTTATGCCAATGCCACGATATTCACCTTGTAACATTTAATATCCCACTGAAGGCTGGGAATTTTTGGAAGCTGTCAGCGTGACAGAAAGGAATTCAGCGTGGGATTAACTCCCTAACAGGCTCTGTCCTAAAGCTCAGCCATGGCAGCACGCTGGAAAATTCAAATGCAATCCCAAACCTCAGCACACCTGCATCACCTTACACGAGGCCTTTGAGTTTATTAATTGAGGTCTGATCTGATAGGGTTTATCCTCAGCTTCAGCTTGGGATGTAAATGGTTGTGCTGGAGTCAGAGTAGGGGTGGGAAATCAAAACTTTAGGAGCAACCAAGCTGCACACTCGACAGGAGAAAACAAACAGAACCACACGCAGCTTTTGTGGGCTCTCTGATACAGCTTTTCCCTGGAATTTTTG